TCATTTAGAGTTACTAATGGAATTCGTAGAAAATTAGAGATATAAAAAGGAATTCAATTATTTTCATAATTAAACTAAAAATAATATTTATTTTTTGCTAACCAAACTAAAATTACCTGATTCTTTGATAAGCCTGTCTGCGTTGCTAACATGAGTTTTTGAGACTCATTAGGATAACTGGATGGAAAATAATTACAAAATTTACACATATTAGCAAAAAATACGAACCATAATAATAATAATAATAATAATAATAATAATAATAATAATAATAATAATAATAATATTAATAGTAATAATAATATTAATAATAATAATTTCAAAAGTATAACGCAGTTATTGCAGTAATTAAAAAATAAAAAATAAATCCATACGGATGCAGAAAATGCTCGAAAAGCCAAGCGCGAAGAATGGTGACGGATGTCTCCGGCAATCCCCTGATGGGCCTCCAGGCCTGGCGCGAGTTATGCATAAGCCCAATTTGCTGGAGCGAGACTCGATTCTGGCGGCCCTCTTGATCCAACAACCTCAGCCCAGACAATCCCGAGCTGAATTTGGGCCACTCCTTATCCATCTTCAGCTTAGCGGCCCGAATTTGAGACACGATAGCCTTTCTGAGTGTGCAAAAGTGCTTGGACATTGCCTGCAACGCGAGTGCGGTGTACGAGCGACCCGAGCCCAAACCCGCTATAATCTCGAATGACGTCACCAAATCTTCCATGTGATCATAATACTCCTCATACCTTCTCTCCACCTAAAAACACCAGAAAAATAAATAAAAAATGAATATATTTAAATTAAATAAAATTGAACCAACCAGAGTTGGCTCAAGTTGTAAGCAGCTTGATGTCGTTTAAACAAGGTATCGAGTTCAAGTCCTTGTGAATGCAGAAAACTCTTGTTGGGAGACTGATCCACTATTGCCAGGTGTGCGACTCGGGTCGACCAACAAATTAATCGGGGCAATGCTTCGGATACCGTGGAAAACATACTAACCTCCTCCAGCAAAGCAAGAAGCTTTAGAAGGCAAACACACAGCTCACTATCCGAAAGCTCGGGATGGAGATTGGGCCGGAGCCCAATACAATCTTTCCGCCCGGCCCGTGAAAGCTTGTGGGCATACTTCCTATTGTGGGCCTCGATCTCCTCACCCCCAACACTGACCATCTCCAAAAGGAGCGACTGGGCCGACCTCAAATACCTCGAGCTCCCAATAGCTTCGGCGGACGATTCCTGGCCGTACGATGTCGAGCACGACTGGTCGTGGTGGTTATTGTTGGTGATTATCCCCGAGAAGGAGTAATCCCCCATCAGCAGGGTATCGGGCCCGGGATTTAGATGGGCCGGGCTAAAGGGCCGAATCTGGCTGCATGGGCCGGAGCCCAGGGATAGAGAGAGCCTTTGGGCGGGATTCTGGGTGCCGAGAAAGTCCATTAGGCGCCCCTCGTGGGTCATGTCCGCATGGTGGTAAGGGCCATTGTTGGAAAATGGGTGGGCCGGGTACGGGCCAAACGGGTCGTTTGGAAAGTGGGTTTGGTCGGGTATGGGGCTTGTGGAGTTTGGTAGTGAGTCTTGTGAAACCATGATGATCTTGCTTTCTTTAAAAAAAATAAAAAAAAAAATGAATTGTGGGTTTTTGTTTGAAATTAAGAAAAAAAAAATGAATCTTGATGGTAAAAAAAATGAGAATGTTTGAGTAATATGGTAAGAGGAGAAAAGGGTCTTCTTCTTTTTTTGTTTTATAATTTTTTTATTTTAAAAAATTGAATCTTTGATGAGAAAAATGATATTTTTATATGGTTAAATAATATGTGATGGAAAATGTTGTTTGTTCTTGAAGGGAGGAAATGAGAGTTTGAGTGATGGTGAGAGGAAAAAAAAAAAAAGGAACAATGGGTTACTTGGAATGAAGGTTGAAAAGAAATACTAATAAATAGGAAAAGGTTTTGGGGACTTCTTCTAGGTGAAGCCTAAAATAGTAAGCCATCATCACAATAAATTGATTTGCAGGCACAGAGGGATCACGATTTATGCGTGTCATCCTTGCGCAGGGGCCGAGGGATCACGATTTATGCATGTCATCCTTGTATAGGGGTCATGCTAATCTTCTCTGTATCGTTTCAATTTTATCGGATGTCCCTGAAGGGACTTGCACGCACAGAGGGAAAAAAAATAGAAAGATTTCATGCAGCTTAAGGCAATTGAAAGGTGCACAATCAAGATTCATTTTTAATAGGAAAAGGGAAGATTTGTTGGCAGCAGAATGAAAAATCATGATGAAAGTGCATAATTATGATAGAATATTTTGCTTTCATCCTTTACAGAGATAAGTTTTACCTTTTTTTTTTTTTAATTAAGAATTTTGTTAGAGATGGGTATTATATCAAGGTTAATCAATTGCACATTATCCTTCATTACTATGTAAAGTTTCTTGTATTTTGTCCTCTAAATTTTTGACATAATTGAATATCTATTGTTGCTTACTCTCAAGGCTACTTTGGATTAGCATGTACAAGTTCATGATAGGTCAAAAGTAAGTTGTTGATCAAAGCCCAAAAATAGAATTGTTAATGTGTTCATCAGCCACGTGTCAAGATCTCGTTATCTTTTAATGATATGTCTGAATGTGTGTGATATATTAATCTCCCGTTACATCAGTTGTTGAGCATATTAATTTATCTTTCAATCACATGTCAAAAGCGAGTAAATTACAAAATGCCATCATCCTTTAGTAAATAAAATGCCAAATTATCCCATTAGTCAACTCTTATCTTTTAAGCTAGACCCTTGGGACAAACATACCTCATTGTTTTTTTGTTTTTTTTTTTTTTTTTG